CCCCGGCGCCACACAACCCTCCGGTACTCAGCTAGTCCACTGCCTTCATTTCCCTGATGATGGGAACACTGAGGCCCAGAGGTAAAGGAATGTGCCAAGGTCACCCTGTTGAGCCCCCAGTTGCAGTGAAGTTTCCAGGCTCTGGCATCAGCCAGCCCTGGATTCAAATCCTGACTCTACCACTTTTGAGCCAGTGAGACTGTAGGTAATATAACCTTTCTGAACCTCCATTTCTTCATCAATAAAAAGGGTCACTAATAACATTCACCTGGTAGGGCGGTGGGAATAAAATTAAATAATCTATATAAAGCGCTTAGCACAGAGTAAGTGCTCTCTAGCTAGTGTGGGGCTTCTCTACAATATCATCATTGTCGTAGTCATCATCATCACGTCAGATTGTTGAGGGCATGTTATGTGGCAGGCACAGGCTGCTGCTCTGCTTGAGTTGTCTGCTTTATTAGAGTCCTCTTGTTGACCTTCTGAAGGAAGTTTTACCATGACTCCATTCTGCAGTTAAGAAGAACAAGGTTCAGAGAGGTGATGTGACTTGGCAAATGTAATGATTGGCATCCTCACAGCCTTCACATTCGCAAAGGACCCTCCCACTTTTGGCCCCCACAGGCCAGTGATGAGAGAAAGGGGCCTTTGTAATTACTGTTTTGTAGGTGAGAAAATCAAATCACTCGCCCAAGATCTAAACCTTGATCCTAGGCTGCGGGCTTCATCACTGCCTAGTTGCCAGGCCTCAGGGCTGGACTCCCACCACTGGGAGTGTCTGTAGGGCAGGCCAACAGTGAGGGAGTCACAGCACCAGGGCAAAAGTCTTGCCCCCCACATGCTCCTCGTCTGGGCAGATTTTTCTCCTTTCCCACCCCAGTGTACCTGGCTTGCCCTCTCCTGTGCCTGGGGTCCGTCCCTGCCCACCACGAGATGACTCAAGGGCCCAACTCCAAATAAAACCCTGTCCCAGCAGTTGGCAGACCGCTGCCTCTAATCAAAACCAACAAGAGGAGTGGGCTGCTCTCCAAAGACAGCTTCCAGAAAGAGTGGGCGGCATGGGGAGAGACCTGAAGGAGAACTCCAAGCCCGGGCGCTCCAGGCACGGCTTGGCCCATGGGTGACCTCGAGCCACACTCTGAGAGCCTCAGCTCCCTCACCTATAAAATAAAAGATCAGAAGAGGTAACTGGCTCTGAGGCTGCTTCCCCCGCTGACGCCCTCAGACTCTGCAGGATGGCCTACTCACCACACATGTGTGAAGCATCTACGACATCCCCGTGCTGTGCAGGGCTCTGGGAAAACAGAACTAGACAGTGTGGTTCCTGCCCTCCTGGGCTCACAGAGCAGTGGGGAGCCAGGAAATTAGACGCTCCTCTAAGGGTGACTCTGGAGAGCACTGGAGACAGATTAGAGCCCCAGACCAATCTGAGGGTTGGGAAGGCTTCCTGGAGGAGGTGGGACTTGAACTAATACCTGCAAGTCTAAGAAGGATGGATGAACAGGACAGGATCAGTGTCAGTTTTGGGGGTGGGGGACATACTCTGTACCACCGAAGCCTGCCCTCGCTGCCCTGCCCTTGGAGTGAGTCTGCCTCAGCGGAGGAACCTGGTCTGGGGCCAGGGCCATGGAGCCCCAGGAACTAGCGTGTGCCTTGACCAGCGCCTCCTGGACCTCGGCAGGTGCAGCTAGTCCAGGACCCAGCGACCGGAGGGACCTTCGTGGTGAAGGCAGGTGCCACCCAGCTTCCTGACGTTCTGCATTCCCCCTTGGGACTTTCTCAGAGCTCCTGGAAACCCCAAACCTCTGGGGAACCCCCTACCCAGAACCTGTATCTGAATCTCATGCATCCTCCAAATCCAAAAGCCACTTGTCCTGCCCTGAGCATGCCCCTGTCTCCTAGACACATACCTACTGCCTCCTCCATGGCCCGGGGGGTGGAGGGCCTAGATTCTGTGGTGGAAACAGGACTGAGGGCCAGCTCCAACCCCGCATCCTGTTGCCCCTGAAGCTAGGCCTCTCATCTTCCCTGGCAGAGTAACTTCTGGCCTGTCCTCAGCTGATCTGCCTGCCCTGCCCCCTCCGCAGAGCCTGTCCAGGTGCCACGTGGCGAGCCAGGAGCGGCTGACCATCATCCCACATGGTGTCCCCTACATGACCAAGCTGCTGCGGTACTTTGTGAGTGAGGACTCCATCTTCCTGCACCTGGAGCATGTGCAAGGTGAGGGGGACTGAAGACCCCCGTCAGTCCCTCAGGGCTTTGAGATGTCCTCTTCCATCCCCTTAAAAGGCCAAGCCCTGGGGAGGGGAGTGACTTGCACCAGATGTGCAGCACAGACCAGGGGCCCCAGGCTTTCTGGATGACGATGGAAGGATCGGGTTACTGCAGTGCTCCCTGTCCCCAGTGTGGTGCTAAGGCTCAGGGGACATCCTGGGGAGGATGTTCGCATCTTGGGCTGGCGAAAGGGCATATATGCAGATGTTCCATTTGTCACTGTTTCCTCCAGTCTTGGCTGTTCCCATCCCTCATAGTGGCCACATGGGATAGTGGTACTGAAGCTGTAAAGACAGCAACTGGGTCACGGAGCAGATATTTATCGATCAGCTGTTACAGCAAAGAGTTTTTTTTAGTGAGATACACATCCTTGGTCATGACATACTGTCATCACAGGTCCATGCCTGACCTTCTTTTATTTTACTTACATTGCATTATACTATTCTCCCTAAAAATAATTTAATTTAAAAAATATGTGTATAAAATATATTGAACACTAGTGAAGCCACTACCCAACCAAGGACATTAACAATAATTTATATCTTATAATCCTTAGGGGCTAAGTGCCCATTTTGTGCCAGGTAGAGTGATAGGAGGGGAAAGGTCATTCTAGGCTAAGGCAAAGAGAGGGAGGAGCAGAGGTGAGGACCTGGAAAGCAGAGGGTCCATGCCCAAGGCAGAGGGGAAGCAGGATTGAGACAGGGACCTGGTATCCACACTCTTTTTCTCCCCTGTCCCCATGCTCACTTGCTTCCTGTGGCCCAGGAGGCACTCTCTGGTCCCACCTGCGCTCCCAGGCCAGCCCCCAACAATCTCGGCTCAGGTCTGTCTCCAGCCTGGAGAGGATGAAGGCTCAGCTCAACTCCTGCCTCAGCCTCCGGACCCCAATGCTGCTCCCCCTGGGCCGCACCTGCCTCCAGGACAGAGTCCCCCAAGAGCACCCACAGACTTGTCAGAGCCTTCCCCCAGACAGGGAGGCCTCATCAATCAGACCCCAGAGAGAGGCTGAAGGTGAACCTTCAGCCAGGATCAGCACTTCCTGCTCCTCGAACCTTCCAAAGGCTCCAAGTGGCCTCCTGCACCTCCAATCCAGGAGAAGACCTGGCCAGAACTTGGACACAGGGTCCCCTTGGGGGCTCCCTTGGGTTCGCGAGGGGGCCGGCCGGGTGCTGGGGGGCTGTGGCCGTAGCAGAGGTACGAGCCGCCCCTCAGCAGATGAAGCCAGCTTGGGGTCTGGCAGGGGTGCCTGGAGCGCGAGTGAAGAACAGGTGAAGCAGTGGGCGGCCGAAATGCTGGTGGCACTGGAGGCGCTGCACGAGCAAGGGGTGCTGTGCCGGGACCTCAATCCTCGAAACCTGCTCCTGGACCAGGCAGGTAGGTGCCTAGGCCTGGGGGGAGGGGAGCAGGCCACCCTCCCCTGCCTCACCCCTCAGGTGGGGGTCTCCAAAGCATCAGACAGAGGAGAGTTCCCCAAAGTCAAGGGGATGGCAGAGGTTATCTGCTTCTTCCTCCACCTCCCCTCGGCCTTTTCACGTAGGATTCTACTGCGTTTCCAAGGCTGAAAAACAAGCCCCTTACTCTCATGAGTCCAAGGCAGCAGCTCCTATGAGTAACTGGTTGTCTCTGGGCCTCAGGAGACCGTGCCCTTAGGACGGCCATGCGCAGGGAGGCCACTGGCTCCTGCCTTATGACTGTAAGGGAAAGCCCTGGAGTCCCATCCCCCACGCCCACTGCTCAACAATGATTAACTGCGATTTTTGTGTCCCGTTCATCCCCCCTGCACACACATCCGGGAAGGTCACATCCGGCTCACATATTTTGGCCAGTGGTCAGAGGTGGAGCCCCAGTGCTGCCGGGAGGCTTCGGACAACCTCTACAGTGCCCCAGGCAAGAAGGGGGGTGTGCCGGGCCCCCAGACCTTGGGTGCCTTTGAGTAGACGACAAAGGGGATGGGCCGTGTTCGGGCAGGATGAGTAGAGAGGAAACCCAGCCTCTTTGGTGAGGTTGGGACATGTGTGTTCTTGCTCCCACAGAGGTGGGTGGGATTTCTGAGCTGACGGAAGCCTGTGACTGGTGGAGCTTTGGGTCTCTACTGTATGAATTGCTGACTGGAATGGTGAGTAGCTGGGCAGGGTATGGAGCCCTGGTAGGTGTCACTAGTTGCAGGATGAGCTGGACTTAGTCCAACCAGCCAGTGTCGGGGCTGAGGCTCTCTGGTTCGCCAAAACCCGGCCTTTGGGCTGGATGTTCTGCCAGCACAGCTGTGCCCTCCCCAGCTGTCCCCTACAGGTCATGAGACACGGGAAGCCTCTCCCACCCAGGCCATGGACACACTTCATACCCCTATTACGCTAGTGGCTATAGCTAGTGAGACTGTCAGTTTATGTGGATGACAGTTGAGACAGTTGGGGAGTTTCCAGAATTTGACACAGCCCTTCTTCACTGAAAGGTGCCTGGATCATCCCCCAAGCCTCCTCCTTCCACTGCTCACTCCCCATCCCCACACTCTTCTGGGCTGTAACTCCTATATTTTGGCTGGAGGACAGGAGAGAGGGCTTCCTTGATCCAGGCCAGCAGCTGTCCTGTCCAGCCCGGGTCAGCCAAGAGCTCAAATTTCCTCCTGCAAACACCCTTACTCAGGATGGCAGCCTCTGCCCTCTGTCCTCCCCTGATGAGCTCAGCATCACATCTGGGGCTGGTAAAGTCAGACATCAAGGGAAAGGCCAAAACTGCATCTGACCAGGAAATGGCCAGAGTGTATGCAGTGTGATCTAACGCCCAGATCTGAGCAGTCCACCCTGGCTTCCCCTTGCTTTTGTCCGATAGCCCAAGGCCTCATCCTGACCTCCAAACAGACCTCCTGCGCTTCAAAGCTGCCCGCTTCTGGAGTGCAGAGAAGTCCTGCCTTCTTCCCGTGCTACAGCCCTGCCTCAGCCCTGAGGGTAGCGTGCCACGGCCAAATGAGAGGCCCCTGGAGATATACTTTTTTTGTAAGGAGGCAAGTTCCAATGCTGTTCCTGACTGCAACCTAAGCTCAATGCTTCTAGCAAGCATGGAGCCAAAGGGACCTGGGCTCAAACCCTGAACTCAACATAAGTCCCCTTACTTCTCTCGGCCTGCTTCTTGTCTTTAAAATGGAATACTAATACTTACTTTGAGGATTGTGGAAAGTATGGATAAATGGCTGTCAGGCATCTAGCACAGTCTGACATATAATAATAGATCCAAAGCAGAAGGCAATGATCAACATCATCACCATCCTATGGGGTGTGACGCAGGGAAGAACAAAATCCTGGCTGCTGCTTGAGAGTTTACTTTTCTGGGGTTGCCTCCTCAGAAGCCCCTTCCTGTGTCTTTGCCAGGCCCTGTCCCAGAGCCACCCCTCAGGAATCCAGTCTCACACCCAGCTCCAGCTGCCTGAGTGGCTCAGTCGCCCAGCAGCCTCCCTGCTGACTGAGGTGAGGTACAGCCAGCCTAGAGGAGGCGGCTCCTTGGCCTGAGGGTGGGTGCTGGGAGGGCAGAACCCTGTGCGCAAACAAACGCGCTGCTCCTGGATGTCTAATGTGGGTGCAGGTTATAAGTTCCTATATGTTGGTGACCAAATACCACCTATGTTCCCCAGGGTAACGCTGGAGGTTCTGTGTACCAGTCTGGCAAAGAGTGGACCCCTGGGGCCATTGCGACTGGAGTCCCTGGAGGGTCAGCCCATGCTTCGGCTGCGGGGCTGGGTGGCCTACTGGGTGCTAACTGGGCCTTTCTCCACAGCTGCTGCAGCTTGATCCCACCAGGCGCCTGGGCGCTGGAGGAGGCGGTGTCGACAGACTCAAGTCTCACCCCTTCTTCAGTACAATCCAGTGGAGCAAACTGGTGGGGTAAGAGGGGGTGCGGTGGGTGATGGAAGCAGCTGGACTGGTCTGGATCTTCTCTTCGCCTGTCACCAAAGCTGGCCCCTCTAATCAGTGACCCTCCGCAAAGAATGCAGGGCAGCTGCCTTTCCTGCTCAGCCCTCTCCGCTGGGCCTCAGAAGTAATCATCGCCATTGCCCCTGAGGCGCCTAGGGAGTTCCCCAGCCATCTCTGGAAGAAACCTTTTCTAGTCACTGCTGAGGGGGAGGGACAGGACAGATCGCATCACGCTAGGCAGCTTGGACCCCTCTACCCATCCATCCTCACCCATCAGTCAACGGATGCCCGTTGAGCGCACATTCTATACCTTGAATGCAAACTTACCACGTAAAAGGGTGCCTTCTGTCACGTTAGCTCTGAACTACTGACCACCTGCTGAGCTGACTTCGAGGCTTTGTGACTTGATACCTGCCATGTTGTGCTTCACTTGGGACATATCTGGAGACCCATCTCAGGATACTGGTCCACTGGCTCAGTGCACTCAAACCATGGCTGTCATGCAAGTGGCGGGCCTCTTCCACCAGACTACTGCTGCAGGGGGTGGGGAGGCTGGGGAAGCAGGGAAGAAATCTGTAGTGGGCATGAAGTGAGATGGGGGACCATGCCTCCTATCTTGTGATTTCAGACTTTGGAGAGTAAAAGGAAGGGAGAACAGGAAAATAAGGATAGAGAGAAATGAGGAGAGGGAGGAATGCATATCTTTGCCACTTAGAGCAATTTTGGAATAGAGTTCCCTTCCCCAGCTAGCCCACCGGTGTCAAGAAAACGGGAGCCTGCCCCTTGGCTCTGAGATGAGACCACGCCAGTAAGACAAGTTGTACCCATTCGGATTCCCTTCTCAGGCCTTCATCCTGTTTACCATTTTGCATTCTAGTCTTGAGGGCCCACTCAATTCACTGCCCACTGGGACTTCATCCCCTTTTGAAATGAGAACTCAAAAAACACAGAGAATGATTGCCCAAGTTTTTAGTCAGAAGCATTTCTAGGGTAAGTAGTTACCCCAAAAGACAATCCCCTTCCCATCTTTGGAGGCCCTCTTATTCCTCTCAGATCTGGTAACTGGGATCTGGCATCTAAGACTTCCACCAGACCTCTTCCCCAAATTCCTTCCCTCCAATGTGTCTCCAATACCACCAGGTGGCGCCTCTGACACCTTTCTCTAGTCTGGCTCTGAAGGCCCAAGTCTTATCTCTGGGGGTAGGGACCTGTGTTGTTGGAGAGGCCAGAATAACTCTGGAGCAGAAGGGACATAGAGAAGCACAGCCTCATATGGTACTGGTTTCCTTGGGGCTTGCCTGTACCCACTACCCACCCGTCAATAAAGCCTGATGTTGCCTATGGTGTCTGCCTCATTAATGTAATTAGAGTGGCCCAGTGGGAGTGGGAGATTGGAAAGCTCCCATGAGAAGCTCCATGATGGTTAAAAGTGAGCTTGGAGTCTGCTAGGAAGTAGGAAGCAGGGCTGGTGGTAGACCAGCATGCCGGCCTGTGCCTTGCAGAGTATCTTGGAGTCCAAGGGGAAGTGCTGGCATGTAGGGGGTGCTTGGCTCTATGGGAAATAAAAGAGGAAGAGAAGTCTTGGAAGAGGGTCATGGTGCCCAGAAAGAATACTAGTTAAATCTTTTCAGTGACCCCTTGAGACAGATGGGGGCTTCTGTTCAGAGGTTAATGACAGGACCTGGTCATAGTGGAGCCTGTTTACTAGACTACGTTCCTTTTGCTACACAGGCCAGACCACCTGCAACCACCGCTGCACAAAGTGTGAGTCCCTTCTGGAACTTCTGGGCCTCATTTGTATAATAAACACCGCACATCTGGCACTTTGCTAGGCCCTGAGTTTTGAATACTGTGGTCCCAACCCTTATGAGGCTGAGAGTCTGCCTCCTTTTGATCAAATGGGGCTAATACCTCCTTTGTAGGTTTACTAGAGAAATTAAAGCTTCTATTATCATGCCCTGGACCTGATAATTCTAAAATTCCTTTCATTGAATCCACTGATTTTTCTGTTAGTTCTACCCGCTGGGAGCCACTTTGCTCCTATGACAGACCTTCACATGGAAATGGCACCACTACGTACAAGATCAGCAGGCAGGGACTGCGGAAAGACCAGGCTGTGTCTAAGCATGGACACCGCCAGGCCTGTTACCTAGAGTCAGCCTAGGTTAGTCCCCACCTCAGAGACCACTCACCTTCAAAAGCCACTGCTCCCAGGAGGTAATCCACCTCATCTGTTCTGACTGACCTTGAGCATGTCGGTACACATGTGGCAATCAGGTCCAAAATGTGAAATTTTAAGTCACCCCACCTCTCCCCAATCCATCCCAGAAATAATGCAAGCCCTACAAAACTGCAAGTGTGTGTGTGAAGGGGCTTCACAAAGCTGGGAACCTTTTTCTCAAGAGTATGGCTTGCCTGGCTTGAGGGGCTCATTGGAAGAAGCTGGAGCACTTTCCTGGCTGGCAGACAGCCACAGTTCTATCTTCTGTCAAATGAGTACAGTGTTAACTTACTTCAAAGTCTAGGACATCATCACAGGGTAACCAACAGGGCATTATGTGGCTTTCAATACTAACAATAATCAGTGTTGGAGACTTGTACAGCCTCAATAATCAAAAGGAACATAGAAACAGAAACCTTATTTGAGAACATTTGCCCTTTAATTTGCATTTAAAATGTTTCTTTAAATATTTCAATTACAAGTTCTGAATAGTGAAGACATAGTAGATGCTGCAGGCACTCAGTACTGGCTCCCATCCCTTCCCCCCACCCAGCCCCCCAGGCCTTGCTTCTCACTCAAGATACAAATGGGCACTCTGCACTAAAAATATGGCTCCCAATGTCAAGTGTCAGCAGCCTCAGGCCTGGATGCAGTTGGAGTCAAAGTGATAAAGCCCAGTAGCTTTCATGACGAGACGTGCATTTAACCATGCTCCAAGGAATTTCAATGATTGTGCCCAGACCCACTAGGCAGTACCTCAGAGGTGACACTGGTTATTTCCCCCATGTACTAGCATCCCGGGGCTGGTTTCCACCACAGTCCATCCTCCCCCAGACCTGTGTTCTGCAGAGGAAGAGCTAAGGTCCCGCTCCCTTAGGGCCAACGTGCAGGAAGGAACAGAACTGCCTCTTCAGTCCACTTGCTTATACCAATGGAATATAAAAGCTCAAGTCAATCTGAGCGAATCCACAAAAAGCCTCCCCACCTCAATCTCTACCAGGCTCCAGCCTTGGGTTGTGACCATCCCCCACTACCATGATTTGCTAGAATCTGCTCTAAAAAAAACAATGTGTTAGAATGGTTCCTAGCAATCTGGAAAGGTTGGTACAACCACGGTTGTGCGTGATTGTGCCAAAATGAGCCTTCCTGGGGCGAGACTATGACAGAGTGTGAGGGCAGGCCTGGGTTCTGCTCCCTTCTTGTTTACAACATATAACCTCAGGGTGAATATGCCCTCTTCCCCTCAACACTGTCGACACCCCTCCTACCCAGATCCCCTGGCCTGTGCTTCCTGAAAGAGGTAGAAGAGGCATCTTGAAATCAATGATGAGAATGAAGGTGCATTTAAGAAGCGAAGCAGCACCTCCCGGCCTGTGGTCAACACCTCCACACAGGTGGAATCAGGTGAGAATGGGCACAGGCAGGACAAAAGCTGCTCTGAGCTTGGGAGGCATAGCACCCTCCTAGGTGTCTCTGGAGAATACACTTTCAAAAGATTGAAATTTAATCACATGGTCCCCAGTGGTTTCCCTATAGCATTCTGGCACAGGGGAGAAGCAAGATCATTTCTGCAGAGGGCTAATGGAAGAAAGGTAGGAATATTAATTAATGAGCATCCGTTAAGGCTCTCTCCCTCTCTCCCTTAAGCCTAAGGAAATAAGATATTCGAGTGCACGAGAAGGGTGCAGAGAGGGAGAGAGCCTGGTAGGAACACCAAGAAAAGACATGTGACTGCTGGTTACATAGTGCCCTGGGTTCCTTGCTTGAGGCCAACAGCATGTGCCTGTCGGTCACCAGGCTAACCTGGGACCCATGTGGGGGCAGGGAGAAGATTGGTTTTCAGTTCCTGCATGGTCGATGTATAGGGCATTTGGCTTCCTCCTAAAGGTCTAGTAGGAGGACTCTGGGATCCTCTACCGCTGCCTTGATTTTGCGGAGAAAAGTCACAGCCTCTCTGCCATCGATCAGCCGATGGTCATAAGTCAGTGCCACATACATCATGGGCCGCACCTCCACCTGCAGAGAGAGAAGTTCACAAGTTTGTCTGCAGTAAGGCAGAGAAAGCCCTGCTAAAGGGGGATGAAGAGAAAGCACAGCCCGTGAGAAAGTTTCCAGTTCCAGAGCCTTTCCTATTGGTGTTGCTTCTGGCTACTTACAATATCTTCAAAAGCCAAGCCTTACCCTTAGCCCAAAGCTCCCCCACATCCCCCACGTGGAAACAAAGCTTAACCAAGAAATCAGAAGTCTCCTCACAACTGCCTTTATAAACACGCACTGCCCTTTATTCATCTGTTGTCTACAGAAAAAGGTTCCCCTTTGGTTCTGGCTGCTGTAGTTTCTTCTGCAGGGTTATAATTTTCTTCAAAAAAATTTTTAGGGGGGAAAATAAAATGTTTAAAATAAATAAATTAAATGTTTAAAAAAATTTTTAAACCAGGGGTCTACAAATTCTCCAAATTGTATCAAAAGTAGGATTTATCAGGGAAGATCTATGATTTTCAGATTCACAATGGAGTTTGTGACCCAAAAGGTTCTACATAGAGGACTCCCAGAAAATGTTTTCCCACTGACATGTCATCCAGGACCAACTCCATACCCTTTGACTTCATTCTCTAAACTCCCAGAGAACTTCTAAGTCTTATCCTACACTTGGCAGCTGGTAGACTACTCTGCGTTGTTGTCCTCTATTTCCCATAGGCAAGGGGCTGGCCTCCAACAGCATCCCCACTCTCTACAGCACCTAGAGAATGAAGCCTGTTGACTGTACCAGATGAAGGAGCAAGCCTTCTTAGCTCAATGTACATCAGAATCATCTCTAGCTTCTGCTCCAACAGGCCCGGGAAGGGGTCCAAAAATCTGCATTTCTAATAAGTTCCCAGATAATGCTGATCCACACTCCACGACTTGAGAATTACTGCCTTAGCTATTAATTAGAAACTAAAACAGAACTTACGCCTGAAATTATAGTGAATCTTTTATAATTAGCATTTAGATTTTCCTCTCCTCATTGCCTAGTCCCTAGGACATTAGCTGTGATGGTTCATACCTTGCCTCCCACAGCTACTGGCCTATCGAAGATGGCATGCATGCCCAGGATGGCGGACTGAGGGGGGTTGATAATGGGTGTTCCAAAGAGGGAGCCGAAAACGCCTCCATTGCTAATGGTGAAAGTACCACCATCCATATCTTCAATGGCAAGTTCATTCTTTCGAGCCTAAAAAGAGGTATTTCATTATTGAAATTAAGGTCAACCCAGCTTTCTTCACCTAAAGGTCGAGAATGCACAGTCCACATTCTAGCTTCAGCATGAAAGTTGTTCTGCTGAGATGCCTGTGACTAGTGCTCCGCCAGAGGACAGGCACAATGCCTTTGGGTCCTTTTTTTTCCCCCAGCAGGTCTCACTTGATGAGATCTTCAGTCACGAGAATATGCCATACAGAGATCTGTATTTCGGCTCTTGTGGGTGACTGCTGTTCTCAGGGGCTATGCACGCTTTATGGAACCGGGTGAGGCTCCAGCTCTCCAAGCACTGCTCACTGGTGAGCTCGTCCTTCCCCAGGCTCTCTTTTCTGACCTGCCCAGCAGCTGATACACATGCTGCTTTCTAGTTTACCTTCTCTCCCAGTTCACTGATGGTTCGCTCAATATCTGCATAATTCATAGATTCCACGTTCCTGATGACTGGAACCACCAAACCCTGATGAATGTGAAAGACTATTTTCAGATGCAAATTAATAGTATCCTTTACAGTTATATCCCTTGATTCAAGCCATGGTCTCCCCCACTTCCCAGAATATCTTAATTACTTAATGTGTTAAATACTTTTAGACACATTAAGTATTTAGACGTGACATTAAAAGAATGTGGTACGACAAAAATAGGTTACTCTTTTACTAACTTCCTTCTAAAAAGATAGAATTAAAGAATGATCTGCCCCAAGGGTCTGCTTCTTCACACCTCCTGCTCCAACATACCCGTGGGGTGGCCACTGCAACACTGATGTCAATATAATCCCTATACACCACCTCTTTGGTTGCATCGTCAATCACTATGAGAGAGAAAACACGTGTTACATACAACTCCCCAAGCCTAGACTGATAAGGTATTATTTGTACTAGTAGAGTAAAAATCCACAGTACTTGGGAAAGTGTGGGCTGCCCAATCAGCATGAAAAGCATTGCATGACAAGTGGCAAACTCCTTACTCCCGTGCCAACCAATGGTAACATCGCCCAAGTGCTGACTGAGCCTGAGAGAAGAGCATCCATCCTTCTGGCAGTCCTCAGAAGGGCTCAGCACACTGGCTCACATATGATAAGTATACGCTAAGTTCTTGTTAACAGGCCTTCCCTCAGCTGAGAATGGCCAGATGTAAAAAGTGCTCCCAAAAAGACAAATTAGCAAAGTGGGTGGGGAGGTGCTGCCCATTCTGCTGCCCACCCTCAACAAAGGGGACAAGGGGGAAGGAATGCTCTTTCTAGGAGACTCAGGGTGGTCTGGCGTTAATATTGTAGCTTGAGATAGCAAACAGCAGCTAAAAATTTAGATCCAGTGCTCATGATAAAATACAGGCTTGGAAATCTTTTCCACAGAAAGTGTATGTTGTATTGTTAGATAAGAGACCCAGAAAAAGCATGTAAAACTGAGAAAGAGGCCAAGACAACTCAGAAATGCCTATGTGTATGGGCAGGCAGAAGGGATGGATACAGCCAATCAGGAAGCATGAGAAGAATGGAAGAAACAAAGAGGTACACATAGGCACAAAATGAAGACAGTCCTTCTACCTACCTAGAGCATATCACTTGATGGAAGGGACTAGGGCTTCTATTTCTAGATCTTTAGGGACCCTGGCACTGCTGAGGGTTGCAAAGTGCAATGTCCCCTCTCCAATCTTCCAGGGAATAGAGAAGTGTCTCAACAGGAAAGAGAACTGCTTGTTAGGTCAACATTTCAATGATGTAGTGAGTAAAACGGAAGGAAAATGATCACCAAGTCCATAAAAGTGGGGCCAAGCCCAAGGCCTCCCAATAAGGGCCATCAACCAGAAATCAAAGGTCATTCTGGAGCCTATGCCAGGTGTGGAAGTCATGCCCCAAGATAACAGAGCCCTTGGGAAGGTGGGTGCCAGAAAACATGAGCTTCCATGGGCCCTGACGTGAGAAGCCTGGAGAGCTGGGCTGGCTGAGAACTTCCCAGCTAGGCGCTGGGAGGAAAAACCATTCTGTCCATCTAATAGGGACAAAGTAATTATGATACTATTTCAGAAAGGTGAATCAAGAAATCCTTGGGAAATGTTTCCACAGGTATGAAATAAAAAGCCTGTTGACTCCCATCTTTTGTGTCTGTGTGTGTGGGAACAGGTCTGTGTTCCTCCCAGGACCTCTGTGATGCTGGCCACCACAAACTCACCTGCATTTACAACAGGCTGCTCCTGCAAGGCAAAGGCTGAGGCCTTCACAAATGCTGACATGAAGCCCAGTTTGAGGTTATGTTTCTTCAGAAAAGCATCTTTGTGCCGGGCCCTCATCTCTTGGATGTTACTGCAAAAACACATTACAAAACAAACTGACCACAAATGAAGCCTCGATTTGACTTTCATACCGGCTTCTAACTCCATGTACACAATTGAGTAAGCATTTTTTCCCCCTCACCGTGTACCATAAGTTCAAGTTTTGAAATAGTCCACTAGAGGTCAATGTAATATCCTTGTTTCATTATAAAACCTGAATACAAAAGAGCCAGGTCCAATCTGTCTTGAAGGTGGCTTGAGTCCTTTAGAGGGCTCCCTCATATTCCAGAAGTCACAGATTTCAGTGACAGAGAACATAAACAAGAGATCACAAAGCACACCAGCATCCTTGCCCTGGATGAGAAAGTGATTTCTAGCTATACTAAAAATCATGAGCTATCTACCCTGAGAAAATTTTTATGCATAAACAAAGTCTACAAAGTAATATTCTTTTTATATCTTATTAGAATTATTTCTAAAAAACCATGAAACCTGATTATGACTTCCTTGTGACGTTTCTGTCTCTTAACTGGTGAAGACAAACCCCAAAACACTCCACAGGTGTATGGGCTCCAAGTGAGCAAAAGCAGTTATGACTATAGACAGAAAGGTATATAACCCAGTGTTCATTTAGGCTCATGGGAAAGATAGTAGATTAATTCATCTCCCAGAGTTAGTAGTTACTTCCAACTGTTCCCTTTAAAAAGATGCTAGCACCTACTGCATGTGAGGGTCAATGATGGGCACCAAGATACAAAGATAATAAAGACATAGCTCTTGCCCTGAAGATCAGTTTAATGGACATGGTTTCCTTGGTATTTAGAAAAGTGACCATGTATGGACCTAAGCTTTTAAAGTATGAGCAGAAGAGCCTTCTGAGAAGCCTCTGCAATAGCCTTTGTTCCTTCAGGACTAGTTTTTCTACATATATACCAAATAGGTACTGCAGTTAGTGGGAAACGGCTTTCCCATTATTTTGCTGCTGGAACTTCAGTATTTATCGGAATACAGTTCCGTGATGGAAATCGAATTTAACTTTATCTCAGGCCCAAATGCTCGGTTCTCCCTTTCTCCCTATAATGGCCTAATTCAACATTAACATGAAAGATAAGATGGTATAACTTTAACTCCCCTCTTCAGACCTTTTGTTTTTGAAAAAGGAAGTTTTCCTAGGGGGACTGATTGGGTTTAAATGTTTGTTTTCCTGAGTCTAACCTTATTTAGTGCTAGGATTACCACCCTAAAGACATTACTGGTTCCCAAGACACAA